GTCAGTTTTATAAAGCCAACAAGAAGTTTGTAGATCGGAAAAAAGGTTTTGGATTATTACCCATACGGCATAGTCAAGTGCACTTGCACACATAGTCAAGTGCACTTGCAAATGTCTCGACAGGTAAATACATGCGTGGTAGGGATTTATTTTGGCTGTACATAGACCAGTCCTCAAAGTGGAGAAACCAATAGCTCGCCTTTCGACTCATAATGCTAGAAAAATCCGAGTTAAAAGGCCTATCGCAGCATTGGCGGTTTGAATTCGCTTTATTCAATTTTGAGTGCGATTCAACGGCGATGAGATAAACTTGCACGATTCCTTCTTGTTTAAAAAACGTATTCAAAGTATTCACAACAGGTTTCATCCACAATACGCCATGTGGCGAGCTAAGTCTTTATCCTAGCTGCTAAATACTCTATGAAGTGTTAGTCTAACTAAGTAACGATATTTGTAAAGGCTGGCTACCAATTTGGAAAGGCTTGTCCGGGTGCCAATGCTTGACAACGGCGGGTGGTGACCGACACCGCGGTCAGTCGGTCAAGAGGACGGTGGAGTCACGCAAACGGCTTTTTGCGTGAAGTGAGCCCATTTTCATCGCCCGCCACAGTCGGTCTGACGAGGTCGCGATTGGAGGACCGCTAATCTCAATGTCATCTTTTGCGAAATAAGCTAAAAAAGCTTGTCCACTTGCAAAAGTTCATCGGTTTCCCTCTGTGACGTTTCGCAGCACTGATTTAAAGACACCTACGAATACTGGCAGGTGTTAAGAAAGAATAATTCTGTCTAGAGTTATGTCCAATATAATAATCCTCTTTTGGTTTTGTTTTTTAGTTTGAGTAATTTAATATAAGAGTTAATTCAAAGTAAATGAAATTCAAGCTAGTTCTCGAAGTTAATTCGAACAGCTGTTAGATAACATTCTATATATATAGATAGAATAATCCAAAAATTAATATATTTATGCATAAAAAAGCTCCATTAAAACCTCTTATACGAAGGGTGTGTTCTTAACCCTCACACAAAATGACTATTACTTTACATTAATCTCAATTTATCATAGATAAACCTTCTTTATAATACTCAAGTAGTATAATAATGCGTAACAAATATCACATTCGTCGGTGTTCTAAGTTAACCCTAGAACTAGGATGTAAAACAAACAGACGTAGCTGTGCGCCTGTCTAGACATCGTTGATTTAGTATTTCCGCTTAAAATATCACTTGTATCGAGTGCCACCTCGCGTTATATGCCGTGCCGCCGCTTCAGGGTAAACATTCGACGGATTATGTACGTACTGTATATCGAATCACCGTTTCGATGCCACACGCACACACACACACACACGCATGCTATACGAACACACGCACGCACACATACGGAGCGCCGTTTCAATTTTATTCGCCGACCCAGATAGCGGCGGCCCGGCCAAAACTACGCAGGCCCGACAGTCGTGATTGGTTATTGATTTATTTTGGACATTGTAACAACGGTGTTTTTGAATTTATTGGCTCGCTCGGGCCGTCCGTTTCGCTCGATATGTTGCCGGCGGCTCGCGGCGCGCAGGAGCGAGCTCTGGACGATGTAACACTAGGGCGTTTTGCAAAATGTATGATAGCAAAGGCATAAAATGATGATAAGGTAAAATTTGTATGTTTCTACTAGGTAAAATCTGGAAGTAGTGAAACGAAATTTGTTTTCGAATTCACAAACCTCACTACATCTTCCTCCGTCGCTTCGAATACTTATTTATTTCAACAAACTGTAAGGATCAAAATACGCACCCCGCCCCTCCTACTTGTAGGTACTGCCCCAAATCACCCTGACGTCACATTGGTATTTTTATAATGAAATACTAGGAAACGAAGCCCGTTACGTTTAACAAATTAAAAACAAGTCTTAAACTTTGCACACATTAAGGCTTCACGGGTTATCGATAAGTCCAACTTACTTCCGAATCCGCGGAAGCTTCACAAAGTCGCGACCGTTATCGACTGAAATAAATTACTTTTGCAAATGTCTGTGGCAACAACAGCGCCGTTTATTAATATTTCTCTGGAGGTATATGGTGTATATTGAAATGATTGCGAGGCCTATTTAAGTCCCGGCTTATGAGTTATTGAATAACTTATATTACTCAGTATATTTCTTGCTGTGTCAGGGCCAAGCAACAGTCTTCACTGTTGCACGAATGGGCAGGCCCGGCTGGGGAAGTACCACAATTCCGGCGTTCCAATTCATTCCAACTTCAGCGTTTCGTCCGGTGAGTGAAGTAAAGGAGTCCCACTTTATTCAAAGGTGATAACGCATCTGCTATCCTACGGGTGTACTTGAAGTGGGACATATAGGTACCGGTTGTTACGTTACTGTTTTTGTTCTCGCACCAGAGTATAATCTCTAAGGGTGAACGAAAAACGAAATCACCGACACAAAATAAACCCAGACCGGAAGCAATTATTTGCGTATTGAACAAATTTGTCTCGCGCGCGGAGATTGAACCGTCCACACATGGGCAATTCCAGCTAGTGATCACTCGAGACAGTGCGCTATCCGTAAACCAGTCTTCAGAAGTTTCACATTTGTATAACCGTACGTGTTGCCTTGTCGAGTGACGTGAGGCTTTAAGAAAACATTGCGGGTTTTTTGCGGAGTTCGGGCGAATCGCGCGACAACGCGACACGGATGCGGTGTGACGTCATTCGATACTTCAAACGACTCTTCAGGAGTCAGGAACGGAGTATCGCTATCGCTCGTTAAAGACTAGCCGAGCAACGTTTTTTTTATTTTATGTGAGAGGGTGGGCAAGCGAGCTGGCGGTTCACCTGATGGTGAGTGGCAACCGCCGACCATGGGCATTTGCAACAGCCGCCACCTTATAATAAAGTGGGCCCCCCGGTTACGTCGCTCGCCAGACGAAACGCAAAAGTACTTCATCTATCATGCCGATCTTCTGTGAGGTCGTGGTACTAATCAGAAGACTGTTGCGAGGTCCTACTAAAGAAATTAGTACTACTGTGTATATGAAACTAGTTCATTGAAATAAAGCGAAGAAACGACTGGCCTGGAGGGCCTGCCTCTTGCACCAGGGGGTGTGGGTTCGATCCCCAAACTGGTGTTATATTTTGTGATGAAAATTTTATTTTTCCAGTGTCTGGATGTTTATTTTTTGATAATATTTATTTGTTTACAAAAGTAGAAGTAATCAGCCATATAGTACCCCACATTCTTAGTTTGGGACAAGAGAAAATTGTCCTAAAATATTTATTTTTAATATCTAACAAGAACAAGCTAAGGTGGTCGCGGCTCAGTTTTCCTGCGCTCGCTATAATTCAACAAAGCAGGCCGAGTTCGAATCCCGGTACAAATACTAGAGAAATTGAAAATTCCAAATTTGAATAGCACTCCGCAATGAAGACAAATGTCTGCGGGCAAACATCATAAAGTCGACGCGGCAATAATCTATTCAGAAAATTACCATACTACGATAAGATGGGGAATACCCGATAGGATCTAGTTCCTGTATAAAAACTTGTGTTATGCAACACTCCGTTTTTCGGTAACAATTGTATTGACGTTTACATAACAATCAACTCAACGATGAATGCAACGTGTCGAGGAATTAATGCAAAATTTGACGCACGAAACATTCCAAGTTATCATATGGCTACAGTTTGGAAAGGATAAAAAAAGTAAAGTAACAGCTTGCACACTTTACTTTACTTTGAGTTACAATACAGGAAAAAAAACCAAAAAAAAAAAATTAAACTGCAAGAACAAAGCGCGTGTTGCGTTCACGCGTTAAAAAAAGTTTAACTTGGAACGCGTAACATATCGAGCCCGTCACGAGTACTGACTGTGAGGGAGGGGAGGAGGGGTGAGGGGGGGGGGGGCTTTAAACGGCACACCGAGGCAGCGGATAAACGCTATATAAAAATTCCCGATACATCGCTACATGGCCGAATAAAAAAGAGAGAAGAAAGATAAAAAAGAACAGAAAAACCCCTGCCATTGCACTCGTTAGCGAACGGATACAAATGGCGGCGAAAGGACTCGTCTTTTTAATCGAAACATTTACCATAATTGTTGCTATTGTGTATATTATACTTATTTGTAGTAGTAGGGTGTCGAATAATAACTGATACCTACATGATAGTAATTTATATTATAAGTTATATCCACATTACATGTGATGGCGGGCGGAATTGGCAATATATTATGACATGGCGGGGCCACGCAGCAGCCTCTGTTGTTGCGTAAAGTGGAAGTATAATACTTTCGCGTTTCCTCTGGTGAGTAAGGTGACCGGAGCCCAATTTTCAAAAGGCTGTCAACGCATCTGAAACCCTTAGTTGTATCTGATGTCCGGGGGCGGCGGTATTCACTTACATCAGGTGACGCGCGTCCTCTCAATTCTGCTTCTGCCGAATGTAAATACTAGTAAATCCGGCAGATCTGGATCGTGTAAAAGTCTAAGGTAATGAGCGAGTTGTTTGAAAGCCAGCTCGTTTGTCACGGTCTCAAGTAAAGAAAAAGTACATGGAGGACCGAGCTTTGCTCGGTTTTTTTTTTTGGTTAAATCATGTATTTTGGAAATAAAAAAAATAAAAATTAAACAAAATGATCTGGTATAGAAAAAAAAAGTATATATATGATCGTGATACGAACCGCGGCCGTCTGTTTTGGGGCCGCCCGATTACCGACCGAGCTATTAAATTTTTTTGCGGCGAAATTTACTGTCATATTCGAATGATATTTTTCATTCCCTGAAAACAGGGATAAAAAGGACATTTTCTAAAAATGCAACCTAGCTAGATCGTTTTTCGCCCCTGAATCTACGCACATACAAAATTTTATGAAAATCGCTGGAGCCGTTTCCGAGATTCCGATTATATATATATACCTATACATACATAAGAATTGCTCGTTTAATGGATAAGATACACATTACATGTTTCGTGTACACACTGTTAGTTCCCCCCAAAAAAAAAAAAGAAAGTTAATCTCGCAGTTCAGTCTCCGTGCACCGTGACCGTCTCGTTGGCACCTTCGTCATTATCGCCGCTAATCGAATGGCGGAATTTCGCGTTCTCTTATCACGATCGCAGCAAAGCACGTCGCTTAAGTATACAGGCGCGCGGGCCGCTTTGGCAAACACGGGGGGCGCGTGGTGGGCGCGGCCGCTCGTGAACAACACATTATTAGGCGACATTGGGCCTTGATTTCGCACGGCGCGACAATCCGTTGCTTGGTTACATTATAGATTGGACGATAATTGCGGTTGAAGGTAAATCTATATAAATATCGTATGCATATGTGGGACGAAATTTTATATTAATAGTTACTCAAAGTTGAATCGTGACAAGGATGGTAAGTTATGACGACGTGATTATTTATAAAACTCCCACATTAAAATTTTGTTTGAAGAATAATAAAATCTATCGATTTAAAAAACAAATTAAAATAGAGGTGAAAATTAAAATATCAGTAAAAAAAAATACTTGACTTCACCGTGCTACATAATGTTTCGTGATAAAAAAAAGTCCTAAACTTCACAAAGACAAAATTAACTTGTAAATCGACTCGGTTCAATCTAAATACCGTATCGGATTATTAAATACGACGCGTATTTCCGAGCGGCGGTACGCCACAAATGACGTAAAATCCCTCGGACGCTATCGATAACGCCGACGCCAAAGGTCAAACGGGCTCCTTACGAGGCACAAATAACTCACATTAACCTAAGCGCAACGAGCAAACGGATAATAGGAGTACTGTCAATGCAATAATAAATCGACAAAGAGTACTCTTCCCGATTATAACAACTAATTGAGGTACCTACTACTTCGTTACTCATTTAAATATTTCGACAACGCAATCACATCCCCCAAGTCCTCGATGTGGGATGGAGACGGATATTGAAGCGGATTTATTAGCGTCTCCGCAATGAATATTTACAAATTTGCCAGTTGACGGAATAGTGGTGTCGCGTGGCCGTCCTCGCCAATTGAACGATTTCCCCTCACGCGACATCCGGTGACGTTAGGTGACCTTGCAATGCCAACACCGTGGCGAACGTTGCGTCGTCGTGGACCCGACGGCACCGTTGGGTCATCGCGGATCGGTAGCTTTCACGACGGCCGTGCGCCGGATTCGACACGCCGCGACCGCGACCTTACCCACTGCCCCGTCCCCCCCTCACCCGCTCCGCATCCTACTCCCCCGCCGCCCCTCGCCGAGGGGGCACGGCACCAGCGCGTGACGATAGACGGGACACGCCCACGCCGCATCCGCACAACGAAAGCTGCGTGCATGATGATGTTCACCTCGATTGTAGGCGCGATTTTCTTTTTTTTTTTTGTCAGGACATAAATCACGCCTCGCTAGATAGTTAGCACCCATGAAAATGTTAGTCCGGACGAATCAACGATGTGACGGGGGCCTTTCATATTCATAGGATCAGAGCTATATTGAAAGAAGCTGATATAAAATCAATGATCAAAATCAAAATCATTTATTCATCGACATAAAAACATAAATTTCGTCTATCGATAGACATTTTTTTTACCACTGTTTCGTATTAAGGTTCCTCTAACGGGGAAGAAACAGGCGAAATAAAGTCCGTTAACTACTTCCCACTTCGGTCTATTATCACCTGGTGGCCAGTAAAAGACACAACCCATGAACAATCACAACACCAAAGAATTTAAAGGCGCTTTAGGTACTAACCACTTACAGCGGTGCGAGTCGCCGATGTCAACACTTGTCCGAGGAAACACACTGACACTTCTACAATCTCGCCTGCTTATTGGTGTAGCAGCACAACTGTCGCACGACTCTACCACAGTAAGTATTAAAACTATTCTTTTTAATTCAATTAACAAAGCCCAGTGGGTTCATTCTGTGTCTTAATTGTTTTTTCATAAATGATCATTGTTCTACAATGAGCAGCGATCTGTAACACCACAAGTAAAACCTATTATTTAGAGTGTATTAATAAAATGATATGCATTAGTAATACCTAAACATTCCAAACGATGACGGCATAAAAGAAGACAAACTACGACCTTATCGATACTAAAGAAACCACTAACTGTTAAACACGTTGTAAAACTAAATCCATAAACAACTAAGTAATAGCCACAGCGCCATCGAGCCATAAAAACCGTAAATAATAATAATCTATATGACAAAAATCAAAACCAATCTAACATCAGTGGTATTAAGTGAACACGCGGTACACCCAAAATGTATCTTATCATTTCTCTATTTAGTATTTACACTAGTGTGAACCGAATCGTGAGGAGGGCTCACCTAAAACCCATTGCCCCACATCCGTGAAGAACAAAGCACTTAAACGAAACATCGTGACACTATCGACGATGCGATAAGGCGGCCGGCACGTTTACATTGCCGCCAATTACTTTGAACTTGCTTTGGCCGTGCCCACGCGCACGTATCTCTTCGAAACGAAAATAAGATTAAAAGTATTGTGCGTTTTTCTATATCTATCTCGATTTCACTTTTTCAAATACAGCTATTATCACAATTTATAAGAAATGTATCTTCAATAAAATTATCCAAGGATCCTATAGGAATAAGGGTACTTTACAGCAGTCATGGCCAGATGGATAAAATCTACAGAACAGTTACGTCCAATATATTATGTAGTATTAAAAGGTATACAAGAAATCATAAGAAAACTTTTTCTTATCCGATGAAAGAAGCACAATTATAATTCTTGTTTTTAATATTAAATGAGTACTCTTAAAGAAATTGAATCTTGGTACAAGATAAAATATTATGGTTGGAGTAGGAGCGGATTGACGGGATTAAAATAAGATTTCCGTTCGCAACATCAAAAGGCTCACGAAACTGTGCAGAATAAACAAAGTTACGAAACATCGGGCGGTATTATTTTGAATCTAACAACTTGGTACGTTAAACTTGCATGCGAAATTGAGCTTCATTTGTTTGTTGTAACGTTAAACTAAAGTTTATTGTCGTTTACTTAAAAGTTAGATGTGTAGCAGTTTACAACCATTGGGTGTTCATGGTAGACATTAATAAATCCGTGGTTATAAGTCAGTTGATCTGTAGTTAATGTGGGTACTGTACGCAGCAGATTCGGCTGTTGCAAGAATGGGCAGGCTCGTCCGGGGAAGTGCCACGACCTCACAGAAGACATGAAGTGCAAGTATGATACCTTCACGCCTGCCGTGAGTGTGGTAGCCGGGGCCCACTTATTATAAAGGTGAGCTGTCGTCTCGCTGACAACTTATCTTGATAAAATAAAAAAAAATATCCTCAAATAGAAATATTATCTCGAAACTTATTTAGGTATTTAGTTACTAAATTTATCACTGACAAAGAAACATGATTATTTTTTCTCATTTAAGTTTTTATACCCTTCGAAGTATTACACGTTCCTTCGAAGTATCAGACGCTGTATCCCTCCCGCAATGACCAATCCATGAAAATTTTAAATGCAAATAAGCCCGTAATTCGACTGTAATAATTGTAGTTTAGATCTCGAATAATAGCGTGTAGTTAGTAAAGGAAAAGCCTTATAATGCTGAAAGAAAATAATTAGAAAACATCGTTGAAGGCAGAACAATAAAAACGTTTGCCGCAGCGTTAAAGGTATCCCGCGGGCGACGAAGCGAAATGAAAATTGGCATCAAATCGATAAATTATTATTCGCAACGGATCGAATCACACCAAGGTGACATCGACCGCTCGGTTCCATAACTACAGCAGATGTAAATTTTTACATGATTGCTAAAACTCCTAGTTTAAGTCACACTAACAGCTAGTACCTATGTGTATTCCAGACGTAGTGTGAATCGCGCCTTACGTCTATTACTAGTTTCGTAATAACGAGCAAACTTTGCAAAAAAAGTTGTAGGATACCGCGGACGTTTCACGTCTCGAACGGACAAAAACTGGCCGGGACTACGGCTGGCACACGGCCCTAGGGCTTTCAGTTCAATGTCAGTTTCGTCGAGAACAAAATAGTTCTCGGACGAGTCGATAGTTATTTAAAACCGATAATCCGGACTCGATCGAAAACCTTCGTTATTTCGACTATGTTATTTCTTTGTAAGATATCCCACTAATTGTGCCCGATATGCGTTTTTAAAAAGTTTGTGAAACAATGCCTTCTAATACAAAATAAAAAATTCTAATACAATAACAATAATTGCTTTGTATTAGAATTTGATATAGGCGCCTTAAAAATGTTTCTGTAAATTAGTAATCGAGCTACTAATATCGCTCAAACACAACGACAAAACATAAATAACACTAAATAATTTCTTAGGTATCAACGAATGCTAAAGTAAATTAATTTTACAGATTTTTCTCGTTTAATTTTTAGGTTTCTGTACCCAAAGGGTAAAACGGGATCCTATTACTAAGACTCCGCTGTTTGTGTGTCTGTCCGTCTTTCACCAGGCTGTATCTCATGAACCGTGATAGATAGACATCTGAAATTTTCACAGATGATGTATTTTCTGTTGGCGCTATAACAACAAATACAAAATATTTAAGTGGGTCTCCCTTACCACAGACATGTTTTTTTGTATTTTTTATAGATAATGGTTAGCCCTTAGCGCGCGAGTCCGACGGGCACTTTCATAATTCCCGACGTTTCGACGTTTAAAAGTTGACGGTACGGTTCTGTACGGTTCCAAAACTGAAGGCTTACAAGACGTTCACATGATATCGGCTGACGATAAAAGGCGATTCACGGTCAGTAACAGACGAAATCTTTCTCCGCCGCTGACAACCCTACGATAGGAACGGGGGGAAAAAATCACCGAGGGCCCACTAGCTATCTGTCTCGGATTCTTCGCGATTCGCGCGCTGTTCTCCTTTTTGCAGTACAGAAGAGAGCGCGCTCTGGCGATCGGCGCTGAGCTTTTTATGGCGTCGCGAGCTAATGACAGCGCAGTTGGTTCCGAGGAGACGCTGCCGAGGATCGCGTTAGAATAATTGGTGACCAATGTTGTTAGGAAAAATCCACAACTTTAGCGATACGTGCAATAGGCAATGCATTATTTTGTTTTGACAGCAGTGGGACATGTATAGGCTGATACTACTACTACTAAGCCTGATTGGCAATAAACCATGATAGCTAACCGCATCCTGAGACGAAAACAAATATAATTGATGGAGAATAAAACGAAACAACATTTTGATCTCAAATAGACTAGAATAAACTGGATATAGAGGGCATTAGAAATTTTCTTTTCTAATGCTCTCTCTAAAACTATCGAGAATTTTTCTCTGGCTTATATAAAATATTCGCAAAGAAAAACATTCACGCCCGGTTTCTGAAACACTGATCATCGTAGATGTCAACTAATCAGCTGTCAAATGGCTTTTCACATTTCATTTTAGTTGCCAAAAGGATGGTTAAACTCTCTGAATTGACCAGAATGATCTTCTTAATGAGTGTTTCAGTGTTTCAGAAACCGGGCGTCAGACTCACCATTTGCGAAACTCATAATACACTTACTAGTCTTACTTCCCACGGTAGTATCGTGGAAATACGGCTAGTGAGTGGAGTCGATAGCCCATGGCGCAACTCCACTCAGGGGGGGGGGGGGGGGGGGGGGGGGGGGGGGGGGGGGGGGGGGGGGGATAGCACACATTTACTCCTAACACTTGTGTGTAAATGTGCAACGAATCCTGGTGCTTCGGAATAGATACGGTTTAATTCTTCTAGATGTTTAACAGTCTCGATTTAGACAGCAGCAGAATGCTGGTGCCGTAATTAACTGGACAACAAAAGCCAGAACGGTCAACCGGCTGATGCTGGACTTGCATAACACCTACTCACATTGTAAGGCCCAAGTAGCACTTTCTGCTCTTATACGAATGAGCAGGCTATTCATAAAACATTTATACTTTCGTTTCATACCGTAAGCGAGGTAGTCTCCGACTCTCTTTGAATGTTTAGGAAATAAAAGGCTTATTGTTTATTTCTTCCTTTTCGTCATTTTAACTAGTATATTTCGGAGTATCGACGCAGAATATTGCACGTTGAGTACAGCTGTACTACAAATGTTGAAAAGGCAAAAGAAGTGTATTAGGTTCGAGCAAAAGTTAGTACCACAACCTATATCATACCTACGCTTCTGAGGCGAGGAAAATTTCGATATTATTGTATTATCATGATTTAATTTTAATTAACGATATATCTAAGAGTGCACGTAAATGTGATAACACTTAATGTGTTAGGTAGTATATTAAAGTTTTAAATTACTTATTAAGTAATTTTCATTAAAAAAACGCACAAATCAAGATTATACGCGAAAACGACTAAAATCTGGTTCGTGTTTGCCATACTAAGCCATGTTGAGGTTATATATAAGCATCCGAGTCTTAAATTCTGTAAGCCTCTTTATATAATGGTAAGGGACTACTAATATGGATACGAAAGTAGGGCTGTACGTCTTTGTTCCCTCTTTATGAGGCCACAGCCGAGTGGATTTTAATGAAATTTGGAATAGAAACAGCCCGTACGGTAGAATAACCCACAAGATAAGCAGTTTTATTTTTCCGTATAAATTTTTTTCTTCATTCTAACATTTTTTACTTAAATATGAAAATTAGCACAACTTGTAATAAGCTGGTTTTACCACGTGCACGTATTAAAGGGCCCAATTAATACAAATTATATTACAAATCTTTAATGAGTAAAAGATAAGAGATATTGCATCACATCGCCTTAATTACGTACAGATAGGAAAATGTCGATTTCTTGTGGGTACGCGCATTATGCACGTCGAATAATAAACATTCGTACATAGTGTATTAAACGTTCACAATAATTATAACCACCCGAGAGTTGCACAGCAGTCGTAAAGCTCAATGCATTTTATGGATCATACAAAGTGAGATAGTTGAAATGTGAATGTTTCAATGTTGTTAAAATGTTTTTTCAGATTTTCGGGATTCAAAACTGCCTTTTTCATTTGTCGCACCCAGACGCTCTATATAATAATAATAGCCTTTATTCTCTGATCATCTTACAATTTTAACTTACAAACTACTTATAAAAACAACATTTTCAAAATCTTAAATTAAAGTTAAATAAAATATTTAAGCAACCACACAGTTAGTCAGGTTGTTTTTTGACATAGGCTTCCCCCAGTTCCCTCCACTTATCTCTCACCATTTCACTTATCACCCAGACGCTCTATACCGCACCTAAAATAAGGGCCTCAAGGCGCGGAAAGTAAGTTTCCACGTGGGCTTCCTAGAGCACAAGTTTTTCAAGCTTTCCTACAAAGACAGTTCCGAAACTTTAATCTAAGTTAACCAATCACAACTTATAAGTAACATTTTATTAGTTTCTTACGATTACGATAGTGGTATTTTACGAACTCATATATTATTTTTTATGTAAAATTCGAAGTTTCATAAGAACGCGCAAGCGTCTATTTGAATAAAGAGATTTTCTATTTGGAATTTGAATTTGTCCATCCGAAAGTGTAAACAAAACTAACATGGAGTACAAATTACAGGTTTAATAGCCATTTTTTTATTAACGAAAAACAAAACCGACTTCAAATATCTCGATCTGTATCCACTTTATAATTGATTTTCAGGAGTCCCCTATGATTTTCAAGAATTCCCTAAGTATCTCCGGAGCCCAAGATCCAATACCAATGAAATTGACATGGGACCAAATGGGAAGCACCAGCTTTCAATTAAAAGAAGAATCATCAAAATCGGTTCATTCAGCCAAGTTCTGAGGTAACAAACAAAAAATACATTCGAATTGAGAACCTTCTTCTTTTGAAGTCAGTTAAAAGGGTAAGTTGTGACGATTGAGTCTCCCAATCGCAGTGCCATCATGATTTTCCTTAAACAGTGGAGTCACTGCCTGCTCATGGAGTAGTAGCCAGACCCATATGTAAGACTGAGACGGTGAGTAATCCGACGCGATCATGAGTAAAATCGGGGTTGGCACGGAGGCCGCGATCAAGTGGGCCGGTCGGCCGCTCATGAATGAACTCGCGGAAACCGGTTACGCAGTCGACGGCGGGGCCAGGAAATCGTAAATGGACGCACGATTATAAGACGCACGCCTGTGTCAATTAAAAACAGTGAAATAGTTATTGAACGTAAAAATTTCAGGAGTAGTAATAATGTGTAATGAAACGTATATTTTATGACCGTAAAAGCTAAAAGGATACAAAATATAAACAAATAAAAAAATCACGATTTCACCCTACGTCAACTTTTATAAAGTGTTAAAGGAAATGTTTCAAAAAAATTAGCAGTTGTAACATATTATGTGGCTGGCACAAAATGACAGGCCGGACACTAAATATAGTTTTGAAGGACGCAAGAGCTTGTTTTATCAGTTATTAGTATTAATTAAACGCGTTAATATTTCATGTTCGTTAGAAGCTGCCTTCTGTACCATAAACCGAGCAGTAAACTCTCTCAGTCCGCCGATTCTGCGGCCTCAAGCGCAAACACGTCCGCGAACGCCGATCGCTCAAAGTCTTCTCCGGCTGACGGATCGCTCCCATTCGACGTGTTAACGGCGCGACGATGTATCATTCACGATGAAGATATATAACGCAACGCCCCCGCGGCTTTTTCGCGTACACACAATGCAGGTACAACGCGTAAGTATATAAACAAGAGAAAAAAACACATTTACGCAGAACGTATGACAAACTAGCAACGGCCGGCCCGTGGACATTTGTAATATTTGCATACGCTTTAACCGTCTCTATACATATATTAATTTATATTCCTACTTCTCTTTTTAAAGGCATCCAATTTGTATCGGACGTTCGCAAGCAACGCGGCAAAAATAATTTTATATTTTTTAAAACAATTCTAAAGCTTATTAAAATGTGGTAATGATAGTTTGAGCTTATACTACTCAAGATCACTTTATGCTAATCCCTACTTCATTGTTAAACACTATTTCAAAATCAATGAAAATATACATATACACTCACATAAACACGTAGTCTCATATAAATACGTGCATACTCATTTAAACAAGTACAGTCTCATACAAACACAACGGTCGAGTGGTAAAACCTCTACGTATAAGTAAACCTCTAATGGATTTTGCCTTTAAATACATTATAGTACGGAAATACAAACTCAAACCCAAAAAATAGGCATGCAACAGACATGGTATGAAGACTTCGATGCCAAAAGTGTATAAGGATATGAGCGATATGGATGGTGCAACTCTCTTGTCGTCATTAAAGTTTTTCCGAAAGCGGCGTCGTTTTGTTTTGGAATAAAATACGATGCGATCAATATGCATACGAGACCAACGTAAAGCTTTAGTTTCAACGAACGAAGCGCTTACAGACATTAAAATTTATTAGAAATAATGTTCACAGTATTAATCTCATTGCTGTTTAATTTTTTTTCGAGTGCGACCCCACGTGGGACCGATAGCACAAACTTAAGTATTTTTTTTAATTAATCTGACTTTAAGAGAAAACAAATCCGCACTATATATTTACTAAATATTTTATGGACCTTAATACTGTAGTTTTGAAGACAATCAAACTTAATCGATATACTGAACTAGTGTTTTTTTTATAATAAATACACTTAAAGCAGATTACACCGCAGTACATTATTTATATTTTCGCCGCCGACATGAAAAAGTTAAACAAAACTGTGGCTCGTGGATATTGCGATGTCTGTTTGTGATCATTCATAATAAAAACAATAATCTTGATATACGATGTACCTACGAGTAGGTAGTAAATAAATAAATATAACGAATATGATTTCCGGACATATTTTAACCAAAACCAAACTAAGCAACGCTTGTACTACAGGTGTTGTAAATTTATTTACGGCCTGTACATATTTGGCTACTGGACATAGAATTTTGACGTAGATATTATGCAGCTAATGTCAAATACCTATCGCTAGAAACCAAATCTATCTGTAGATATAACAGTTAATCATATTTTTCTTTTGTTAAT